AAATAATCTGATTTATTTAATTAATTTGCTAATTTGTTTAGAAAAAAATAAAATAATTTAATTAATTCAATATAAAAAATAAAAAAATTATTTAGTTTCGGTTCTTATTCGATTCTTCGGTTCTTGGTCTAGACCCGAGATCCGACCCAAACCCATCGGTTCTCGATTCGGATAACCGTTCGGGTATTTAATTTATGAAGAACCGCTCGATTCGGTTCGGTTCGGTTCGGGACTTTTGGACACCCCTAGTAACTAGACTTCAAGTACTAGAGTAATTCTCCATTTGGAACAATCTCATGATTCAAAATTTCTTTATATTCACAATTTAAACCGATAATAAACAATTCCCAAGCATGCTTCAAGTCTACATGTACTCCAAATGTACTAAATGGCAATCCTTATTAGAACATTAATATATTAGAATGATATAGATGTGGAAAAGGTGGGAAATTTATTTCATTCCCGCATTTTCCTTTAACCAAACTATACCATCAAACACTTACACAAAAAATAAATTGACACTCAGTTGTTCAATTTGAAGAAATTATGCTCTGAATTGATGCGAACAAGGTTAACAATAAAGTAGGAATGGTAATTATATTTCTAGCAGCATATACGAAACTCTGATGCGATATTTCCAAGGGATTGATCAAGCATTCACACTATACAAGGAAGATCCAGCTTTGAATGTTTCCCGGGATGCAAGTGCAGCTAATGCTGTGTATCCACCAGCAGAACCCCCTGTAATACATAGTCGCTCACCGTCAACTTTTCCGCTATCGACCTGGAGCTGGAAAACAAAACCAGTATTACAATTTGGAAAAACAAAAACGAAAAATAGCCTTACAGATTTACTGTAACTAGGATAAAGTTGAGGAAATTACCCAATACTTTGCACAACTGCAACAGGCATTAACATCAACAATTCCCCAGCGTCCCAGTAGCCTATCTCGGTAGTCTCTGCCATAACCTTTAGATTCAACTTAAACATTGTCATGCGTCTTTTATAACGTGATTTATGCCGCAAGTATGCGGTGTCAAGTTTTGTAATATAGTAATGGAGTCAAAGTGTCGAACACACAGGGATTGTAATTTGATTCCTACTAAGTACTAAAATTATTTCAACTTTTACTTTATCTAGAAAATCAAATCTAAAGTCAATGTTTTTACACTAAATTAACGTGGATGTGTGACAATTCAAACAAAATAAGGCAAATTATAGGAGGGTTATCAATGTAAGAAAACCTAGGGATTGATTTCACCTCACTATCAACAATGTTTTTCAACTTATATAGTACGTCTATCAATTTTTCCAGAATTTATAGGCAAAAACCTTAGATTAATTCTATTCCATCTCTCGAGTGCTGAATAGAACATTACTATATTTTAATTCAATTATCTCTATTCTGAATTAAAACTATAGAAATTATCATGCATGGGGTTCTTAAATGGGACAAGCCTCAACGATTTTATATTTTTTCTCGAAATCTACAAAATTTAAGTTGTGTTATTCTTAGATCACGCCTAAATCTCCCTCTCTTGAGTGCCGAAATTTAAGACATCAAATCATTCAATTATTGATCTGGTAATTGAAAGCATTGCACAAGAATCAACACAAATAAATTAACGGAAAAACCAAACAAAATAACTATATTAGAATCCAAACATGTCTCAAGTTAAGTTACATCAAACCCTAGTTAATAAATTTAGTTCATGAATATAAGAAACAACATAGTAAAATCTAAAATAAAGAACAGGGAGAAGAAGAGAATAAGAAAAACTGTTTTGCCGCTAGAATTCTCCGAATTGTTGTCTTTTTTGCTCTCAATCGATTCATTCTCATGCTTGCCTCCTAAGCAGTCTTCTTTCCCTAAACTTGGTCTTCAAGTTTGTATTTATAGTTTCTTAAAGTATCAAGAAGAATTGGAATTGAACCGGGCCAGGCCGAAAAATGTACAAAAAAAAAAAATTTCTTTCCTTCTTTGGTGGCGGCGCCGCGGCGAACATCCACAATTGTTCTTCTACTGGCGTCGTAGCACCCAATTGTTGGCACCATAGCGCTAGCAGTTCTGCATTGTTTTTTCCTGGGCGCTGCAACACCCGGAAGCTGGCGCTGCAGCACCTACCTCTCTGTTGATTTGGGAACCTTCTTGGGCACCTAGGCACCTACAGGCGGCGCTTCCGTCATTTATTTGCTTTTGTTTTCACCTCTTTACCACTTCATTTTTCTTCTTCTTTCATCTCTTCTTCATGCCCACTTCTATGATCAACACTTGGCTCCATCCCAAGCTCCATAATACGATATTTTCTCCAAATTACCTAATACAAAACAACATGAACAAACACATCAAAACGTTCAAAAGTGCTCAATAACAAACTGAAAACTATTTTTTATAGGTATTAGTTCAATGAGTGAATTACACTCTTCAAACATTTAGCCATGTTTGTCCTCCATTTTTTCAACTCTTTTTTCTCAAACTCATTTTCAACCACAAATACATATAATAAAATATTTTGCACGTAAACCAAAAAATGCCACAAATGCCCAGTGCTTCCACATAACTAACATCGACAAATGCCCAACCACAATTTGTCCAATATTGGATATTGAGATTCAGAACTCCACGTTCCTCACCAGTAGGTCCTCCAACATGTTGCGTTAGTAAATACATTCACAATTATTAAAAAAAATAATAAAAAATTGATTCTCATTAGTGCATTGGGAATCCAATTCACCATTTTGTTCAAGACGTGCTCAAAGAAAGATAGGGGAGCTAAATATATTCAGAAAATATTTTTTTAAAGTGTCATCCATTTCAACTCTCTAATATCATATAGATATGCCAATGTGCAAACTTATCTCATTCATGTATGGGCATCCAGTTCCCTATTTTTAAGTACATCAAACAAACTATATAATCGATTCACAAGTCGAATTTCCCATAATGATCAAATATTTGGGATAGAGAGCAACTTGCATATCTATATAAGCCAAATGACATACACAATCACAACAATTTTTCCCTCACCCACAACAACAAGAACAGACTTAACTCAATTTTACAGGTAGTGTTCAGTACTATTTGTTTACCAGAAATGGACAACCAATATTATCGAATTTGTAGAAAAAGATTCTCATTTCAGAAAACAAATTAAATTCATGTCATCAACATAGACTGTTAAAATACGACAAAAATCATATAAATGGAAGCTCACTGCCAACAGGGATTCCAGCAAAGCAGACCGTTACAAGCAAGGATAAGGAGAATCAACTGCCAGCTAAGAATTCTAGAAGCATCGGCTGAGGGATGACAATTAGAAGGAAGACAAATTGAGCAAGAAGGAACGTTCACTATTGTATTCCAAAAGACTATCTTAGAAAAGTTTTTAGGCTCTTCTATAAGCCGTTGCTAACTTCTAAAATTTCTACACTGCAGTTGTATTCAATTATCTAGATGAGTCCTTGCTAGATTAACAACATGACTGCAAAATAAAGAACAGGCGAAAGATTATATTTATCCGCAAAAATGGCCATCTTCACATAAAACTGCACAACTCTTCAACATCATAATATAGCAGTGTACACGAAAATTACCAATAACAAATATTACGGGTACAAGAAAAAGTAAAGCAACTTTATGGGTATCAAGGCATTGCTGATTTCTCATATCAGTTTGGAAGAAAGAACTAGGGAATACCATGTTCTCCAACAGAAGTGGAGATTTTCTTCTTGACTAGCTCGATAATGAGGGTTGCTTTTGCACGTGTTTATATTTTAGTCGGGTTTTTTACTCGTTTTCTTTATGTAACTGTAAGATTTAATAAATGTAACTCTTATATAGAATTTGTAATTTTTGGGAAGAGCTTTTTAACAATTTGTAAATAAGATTGCTGGTCTCTTGTATCAGAGACGGAGTCCAGACTAGATTTAAAAAAAATAATAATAAATATGTGCGTGGGGTGGGGGCTTAATATGGAAAAAAAATCGCATAAAAAATTTATTTTTCACATATAAAAATAATTTTTGGGCCGGAAAAATCAAATTGGGCTGGGTTGGCCTAGGCCAATTCCCCAAATCGGCCATTGATCCCTCGCTCGAGCGACAGTGTCATCCGAAAAGCTTTAATTCATGTTTTTAAGGCTTTTTGTCCGACCCATTCAACCCTAAACCTACAGTATAAATATCAGCACGCCTCTGAACGATTTTTTCTAAGGTTGAACATTGAGAGAACCCATATTGCTCCATATCTTCTTCATCAAATTTATCTATAGCCTTCAACCTTGGTAGTTTGATTAGATCTTGGCGGTGAAAACACCAAATCCATATACCAAATTGTTTACTTCCTAAACATCTATCAGAGTTCTGAAAATCAAAGGAAGGGGACTGGAGTTCCAGTTGTTGTTGGAGAATGCGGAGTTCTTCGTTGATCTACAGGAAATAGATGAATTCATAAAATCGGGAGTTGGTGCAGGAACACGCAATCCATGAGAGCTTTGGAAATTACAGTCAGGGGGTCAGAAAGTATTAGTGGTAGTCGTGTCTGACAAACTGTAAGTTTAAATTCTGTGTGTTATTTATTGTTTTCATATAACTGCAACAGTTTAACATAGGGAAATTGGATTGATTGATTAACCATCTAAAGATAATTAAAAGTGACTCGTTGCTATTTATTAGTTTTTAATTTCACATAATCACCTATTCACCTACACTCTATGTGTAATTTGGGTCGAATCTTTTAATTTCGGTGTGGGTGATATATTAATGAAATATTGGAAAGTGAAAGAAATATCATTCATCTCTTCCTTGAAGACTTTTTTTCTGCATACTTGTATTACATAATTTTCAAAGGTTTTCGTACTTTGTATTTCGAAGATACTGAATGTGATGTCAATTAAAAGCTGGTTTGTCATCGCATGAAATGTGTTGTAAAAGTTAACAAAAGTTGTAGGTCCAATTAATCGTAAGATTTAAAATAAATTTTGACTGGTTTTCTAGCAAATAAAAACTTTACCTGGTGAAACACTAAATTCTTTAATTAAAATTTTT